TGAGTATTTAGACATAACAAATTATAAAATCTCGGAAGAGGTTCAAATACCTGAAATAATGAAACTTGAGATATCTCAACAAGTTTGTCATTATAGGAAAAAAATACTCGAAAAGAAAAAATTGTCGACAACAATTTTGTACATGATGTACTGCATCATATGACGAGTAATAAAAATAAATGTATCGAAATATATCGATCGAAGTAATAATTGACCAAATAAAATGAACGCATGTGATATAATCGCTTTAGCGAATATATGTTGAAAGAAGGCTGTAAAAAGACGTTGTTCATGTGTTTACACAAATAAAACAAATATTGAATTTGCAAATATAACAGTTTTGTTGATAATTTAAATTTAATTGAAACTCTTTAAGAGCTTAACAAATTGAGGATTATTTGAAAAATAAATTTGAGATGAAAGATTTGAAAAAATCAAATTTTATCTCGAGTTGTAGATTGAACATTTTTTAGAAAAATTATTTATTCATCAATCTACTTATACCAAAAAAAGAGTCTTAAAGTGGTTTATATGGATAATGCACATCTATTGATAATATAAATTTAATTAGAACTCTTTAAAAGCTCAACAAATTGCAGATTATTTGAAAAATGAATTTGAGATGAAAGATTTGAAAAAATCAAATTTTGTCCCAGGCTGCAGATTGAACATTTTTCAGAAGAATTATTTTTTCATCAATTTACTTATATAGAAAAAGTCTTAAAGTGGTTTATATGGATAATGGACATCCATTGGCGTCACCTATGATTGTTTGAAGAATGATCCATTTCATCCACTTGAAGATGGAGAAAAGGTTATGGATCCTGAATACCATATCTTAGTGCAATTGAAGCATTAACTTATCTTACAAATTATAATTAACTCTATATAACTTTTTCTGTAAATCTTCTTACAAGATAAACTCTACACCAATTCAAAGACATTGGAATGATGCTAAACATAGTTTTCATTACATAAAGGGCACTGTTGTTTTAGGATTATTATAATATCAAAAGTCGAGATCTGCTTTAGTAGGATATGAAAATGCAAGTTATCTCTCTGATCCACATAAAGTTAAACCACAAGTAGGATATGTGTTTATACATGAAGGAACAAATATATCATGGAGATTTATGAAGCAATCCTTGACAGCAATATCGTTAAATCATTTTGAAATTATTACAATCCATAAAGTATGTCGAGAATCTGTATGGTCGAGGAACATAACCGATCATATTCAAACATAATGTGGTTACTTTAACAAAAAATAGTCCAACAATTTTGTATAAAGACAATGCAGTTTGTATTGCACAACTTAAATGAGACTATATTAAAGATGACAAAACGAAATATATTTCTCTAAAATTCTTTCATAGACATGAACTTCAGAAGAATACGACATCAATATCTAACAAAGTCGCCCAAATAACAATGTGGCTTATTTATTCACAAAAGCACTATCAATATTTACATTCAAGAAATTAGCTCATAAGATTAGATCCGTCAACTCAAAGATTTTTAGGAATCAATATCAGGAGAAGTACTTGTACTCTTTTTCCTTTACTTAGGTGCTATCTCACTGTGTTTTTCTTGCAAGGTTTTAATAAGATAGTATTTATTTTTAATACTCCAAAATAATTATACTATTTTTCCTTCATTTGATTTTTTTGCTCCGTTGGATTTTTATTAACAAAGGTTTTAACAAGCCAGATATTTTGTAATCTGTCATTCAAGGAGGAGTGTTGTAAATGGTAAGTTTATTAGGGTTTAATAGTAAATGACAATTGTACTTCTATAGTTATAAAAATTATGACGGTTATATTCCTGATTCTTATCTATAAATATATGATTTTTGTTCTTAATAAAACACACAAATATTTATTGACTTTCACTCTCTCCTTTCATCACGTTGAGATGAAACTTAATTTTAAACATGCTATTGTATGTATTAAGGGCACCTCCAGTGACACATCATATTGGGTGTAAAACCCCAAACATGGTGTAAAAGTTGCTACAATGATACATCAAATATAGTGCAATTTTTAGGGTAATGCACCAAATATAGAGTTTTTCGTTTTAACTCTATTTTGCCCTTCTTCTCACTTTACCAATATTGTTTCTTCCATGTACGCCCCTCTTTAATATTTAAGTATTAATAGATTTTAATTAATTTATAATTATTTTAACGTGATGCTTAATTTTATTTGACATTTATTTTTAGAATTTATCAATGAATAAGTAATAATTATTTCAACAATAAATTAAATTTGTTTATTAAAAAGTCAAATGTTACAAATTTGAGAATTAATAAATTAGCACTAGAAAACAAACATAAATTAAAGTACAACACTATATTTAACTAAAACAATAATTTAGTACTCAGGTCTTTTCTTATTACATGTAATTTTCCTTGTACATTCAATGTAATTTTTATAATTTGAGGTATTATATTTATTTTTTCAGTTTATTAATAAATATAATATTTTAATTGAATAATTATAATTTTTAATTTAACAATTTTTGTAATAACATAATTTATAATTAAATATTTCAAAATAAAATTTGGTGTAAACCCTAATGTAAAATGGTTTTTAATGATCTACACCAAATTTGGTGTAACTTACCCCCAAAGACCATTAGAGATTGTCTAAAATGGGCCAATTCTATACAAAAAAAGAAAAAAAGAAAAAAATATGATTAATGACGCAATTTTCTAGAAAGAAACTATTGAAAATTAGCAAGATATAAAAATATAGTGTAATTTTCTAAAAAGAAACTATCGGAAGATTGAAAAATGCTCGTTGTATATCACAATTTACATAATTTTTTTACAGATTGATGATGTGTCAAAAAGAAAGTGAAATTTTTTTATTTTGTTGATGACATTTTGATTCAATCAAATTTAGTCATATAATCTGTTGATATGCAAATCTATAAGGTGTTATGTACGCACAATCAAAATTCCTTTAGGAGTTCCAAATATTTTTGTATGTTCTACACCATGTCCACAATCTTCCGTTTGGGTCATTCCATGTTTCCAACATTTTAATATTGTTCGTATAGTATCCCCAAAACCATTTATTTAGATGATAAAGGACATGCAATGGGCAGCTTATAAATGAATGATGGATATAATTGTTCAAAAATAATTTTTCTTTACTTTGAAGCATTTTTGGACGAATTCAAACCTACAAAGAATAGTATACATTTCTACAAAGCAGAGAGTGGATTTGCCACCAAGCCCCTGTTTGACATCTATTAAAATGCTTCTTCTTCTTTTGTGGAAAAATAAGTTTTACTTTTAAAAAATTTTATTATCTGAATGTATGGTTAAAAATGAGTTTGAGAAAAAATGAATTTTAATTTAATGAATGTCAAACAAGGACTTAGTAGTATTCAAAGT